CTTACTCCAGGCGGCAAAGAGGCATTAACAACTCTGGGCAGAGATGGCTTTTAGCGTGCTGCCCTAACAAGTAACTCCACGGCTAACGTTCTGGCTTCTCTTGCGGAGAATTTCGTCTTTTTAGAGGTTAGAGAAGGCAACTAGAGAATCACTACCCGGCGTTCAAGTCTCAGATGCAAAGAGGAATTGGGAGGAAATGCGAAAAGCCTTGGGGAAAAGCAACTGTGTAATTCTGGGTGCAGGGAGGGACGCTGTGGCAGAAACAGAAGTAAGTACAGCTTGTACTTCAGGAAGATGGGTTCGAAAACAATTTCAAGTAAACTGGAGGAGGATGCCACGAGACTCTAAAATGACAGTTTAAGACAGCCAGATTACACTTTTCAGAGCTGTCGAAGCACACAACCGCAAGGGACACTGACACAGAGAGAACGGGAAGCCGTGCAGGGACGACGTGTCAAGGCGCTCCCGGCGCATGAAAACACAAAGCGGAAACAAGGAGGCACAGACCCCAAAAGCCGTAAAATGCTATTACGTACTGAGAAGGCCTGTTTAAGTTACACTGCAAAGAAGAGATCATCACGGGACAGACACGCCTCAGCTTCGAGTTAGAAAACAAGCAAAAGCTCTCAAATCCCGATCTCGCCACACTAACGCCCTGGGACCCGGCTCGGACCACGCTCCTCCCCCACTCCCGCCCCACCAGGCGCAGGAACCAGGCTTTGAGGGCCTCAGCGGCTCTCACTACGTCACCAGCCGCCCCACCCCCACCTCCGCGCCCGTCCACAGTCCCGGTCCACCGTCTGGCTGGGCGGCCTCAGGGGGCCGCGCGTACCAGCCCTTCCCGCGAGGCACCTTCTGCGAGCTCGGGCCCCGGCGGTCCGGCCTCCTCCTCGGGTTCTTCCGCCCTCCTCCAGAAGAAACCCACCACCTTGCCCGCGAGGCGCAGCATGGCCCGGCCGTTCGTCTCCGCCGCCACGCCCTCCGCCGCCCTAGGCGCCCGCACGCGGCGCGCCGCTCCCGCCGCCCTCAGCCAATGGGGTTGCTGCGCCCGAGCCTGCGCCTGCGCGCCCTCGAGCTTGGCCAATAGGTTTGTGGCGCCCGCGCCTGCGCCCACGCCTGGTTGAGCTCGCCCAACGGGGGTGTTGCGCGCGCCAAGCCTGTTAGCTGCGGGTGGTTGGTGGTTGCTGACCGTTAGTGCGCGGGGTGGGAGTGACGTCATGGGGCCAGGGCTGGAGCGCTTGGGGCTCAAGGCGTGCGCTGGTGGGCAGGGCTTCGCGCAGATGGGCGGGGCTTCGCCTAGGTGGGCCTCCCTCCGTCCGTCGGGGGAGCGGGGAAGGCAGAGCATCTCGCAACTCTGTGCTGTTAGGTGTAGCTTTGGCAGATATGCTTTATCAAGTTGAGGAAGTTCCCTCTGTTCCTATTTTTCTGAGAGTTCTTATCGCGCTTGGGTGTGGAATTTTATCAAATGCTTTTTTCTGTATCTGTTGAAGTGATCATGTCGTTTTAGGGTGTTAATGAGAGTGAATCATACTGATTGATTTTTCAAATGTTAAGCCACCCGTGCTTTTCTGGGAGCACTCAACTTGGTCATTGTTTATTATCCTTTCTGTGTATTGATTCAACTTGGTAATGTGTGGTCAAGGGTGGCATCTTTGCTCCTGAGGGATGAAGAAATTTTCACATATTGAGGTGTGGGGAAGTCCTTCTGGCTTATACCTGATTTGGCTTGAGCTCTGCGCTAACTAGAACAGCCTGCCTTGTGGCCCATCAGACATACATTGTACATCTGCTTTAACAAATTCAGCAAATTCAATAGTTAAAGGGCTATTTAAGTTACCAGTATTGAGCAATATTGCATAAACTTTGGTAATTTCATCTCTTACGGGATTTGTCCATTTCATCCAAGGTGTCAAATTATTAGCATAAATTGTTCACAGTATTTCCTTACCATCCTTTTTATGTCCGTGTGATCCACTGTGATGAACCATCTTTCGTGCCTGATGTTGGAAATTTATGTCTACCCTCTTGTCTTCATCAGTCTAGCTACAGGTTTATCAGTTTTATTTGTCTTTTCAGAAAACACCTCTTGGTTTCATTGATTTTTCTCTATTCGTTATTTCCTGTTTTTGTCTTCTTCGTCCTCCCCTACCCCTGCCCCCCTCTACTGCCTCTCTCCTCCTCCTCCACCTCCTTCTTCTTCTACTTTGATTTGTAGTTTTCTAACTTTTTAAGGTGAAAAATTAGATAATGAATTTTGGGACTTTCTTCATTTTTGATATAAGTGTTTAAAAGTACACATTTCTGTAAGCTCCGACTCAGCTGCATTGTACAAAATTTGGCGTGTTGCATTTGCATTTTCCTTCAGTTTCTAATTTCCTTTGTGATTTCTTCTTTGACCCATGGGGTTATTTTAGCGGTATATTGTTTAGTTTCTAAATATTTGAGGATTTTCCAGATATTTTTCTGTTAATAATTTCTAATTTAATGTTGTCATGGTCAGACAATAAAACTTGGATGAATTAATTTAAAAAAATGTATCAAGGCTTTCCTCCTTGTCTCCTTCCACAAATGTTCCATGTGCTGTTGGAAACCATGGGTATCCTGGTATTGTTGGCTGGGGTCCAATTTAGCTTTGCTGGGCATGTTTTTGTTTTACTGGGTCAGATCCCTCAGTCTGATCGACAGCCTGGGCCTCGCCCCTCCGTAGATGCACAGTGTAATTACAACCCCTTCCTGAGAGGTGGGGAGATACTTGTTCCTTAAATGATACGAAACACTGCTAAGTCCCTGTCTTGGGCTCATTGCTGGGAATACACAAGGAAGTGGGAAAGGCCCTGGGGAGTTATTGGATAAGTGGGGAGAGACGTCCCAGAACAAGAGCGTGCAACACGGGGGCTGGGAGCTGGGCCGGGCTTCGTGCAGGGTGCCAGAGCCAGGGTGACGTGCGTGGGAGCTTCCACGTCACAGGGCTGCCCCTCCCATCCAACAGCCCGAACCTCCCCTGGATTCTGGACTCTTCCACTCCACCTCATCAGCAGATCCACTTGACATCCAACAGACACCTCAGCCCCATCACCAAGACAAAACTCCTGACCTCTGTCTTCTCCATCCCAGGTGAGGCAGCCCCAGCTGCACCGCTCAGGCCGAGAACCTTCCCGTCTCCCGAGCTCCTGCCCTCCTCGCCCCACGTCGCTGGGACGGCAGATCAGGTTGGCTTGTGAAAGTCTATTGAGAATCCTGTCACTTCTCACCACCCCCACCGCTCTACCTCCATCCCCGCCAGGACCTGCTCTCACCTGCTGCCCCGCAGCCTGTGCTCCTCCCAGCTGGACTCTTCTGCCCAGAGCTTCCGAGCAAGTCCATCTCAGAGTCAAAGCCAAGCCTGTCTCCATGTCCACAGGTGCCTCGTCCCTGGAGGCTTCACCTGCACCTTACCTCATGTGATCCTCGTGCCCACCATCCTCCAGCCTTGCCGCCTCAGGGCCTTTGCAGCTGCAGCATTTCTGCTCCCTGCCCGCCTCGCCTCCTTCCCAGTGAGGCCTGCCTTGTCTCCCCAGGTAGCACCTTCATCCCCTCCCTGGACTTATTTGCTGTCACAGAGAGAGTCAAGTACGTCACCATAGAACACACCCATTTATTCTTCTTGTGTGCGCCTGTCCCCCCATTAGATTGCGGACTCCATGTGAGAAGGACCGTGGCCTGCCCTGTTCACGTTGCAGATGTTTGCTGAACGGCGAGGTGAATGTTGAAGCATGAGCGGGACCTCAGCAGTGGAAGACAGAGGAAGCGCTCTTGAGGAACCATAGTTTGTGTGAGGGATCGGGGCTTGTTCTAGAAACTAGTGTTGCCTCCAGAAACGAGGAAGTTCTTCCCAGGACCCTTTGGGCGGGGTTTGTCCTACGATCTCTAATTCAAGGCAGCTTGTTTGATTTCTTAGAGAACAACTTTGGAAAGGCACAGAAATGGTGAAACCTGCTTAATGCTTTTCTTCAAACAAAGAGAGAAGTGAAGAGTTCCATTGGTCGGACATTTCCTGCTAGTTCCACTTACTGCTTTAGAAGACAGTTAATAAGGAGGTTTGGGAGGTTTTTCAATCTATTTAAAATCCCTTCTTGACTTCACAGTTTGTGAAAATTAATTCTAATCCTTCTTGATTGGTTGATAAACGAAGACAACAGAGCATCCCATGATGGGAAACTGAAGCCTTTGCTCAAGCCTGATGTGGGCTTGTGGTCTGAGGAGCCAGCTTTGCAGAATGCTTTGGTTTGAGCCATTTAAGCTTTCCTGTGAGCACAAAGACTGGTGCTGTAATTGTGGGGCGCCAGTGTCTCTGGGCGAAGTGCCCTCCCGTCCTTTCCCTCTGCTTGGTGAGCAGAAAGAAAGGGCACAGTGGGACCCGGCGCTGCCCACAGGAACCTGCGGGTCAGAATCCCAAGCAGTTCAAGGGCCAGGTCAGCCACGTTGAGCGCAAAAGTGTGTGAGACCTTGTGTTCCTTGTGTGATCACAGGGGATGGAAAAGGGCTGCCGGAAAGGATGGAGAATAAGGCTTTGGATAAAAATGTGTTTGTTTCCAAAACAGGTACCCGGCCCTCCGGCCCGCCAGGATCCTGTGCTTGGTGCAGTTCTGCACTCGGGTACACCTCTTCTTCCGAGATGCCCACCCCAGCGCCTGCAACCTGTCTGCCTCCAGGGGACCTGACGAGGCCCCTCTGCTCCTGGCAGGGTTGGCGCAGGACGGAGCGGAACTCTGGGCCAGCAGTTATACAACCACCAAGAACTTTCCAGGATCCCTCGCTTCATGTCCTCATTGAAATTCAGGAAGCGGTCCTCCTTGCCTGGCTTAAGTGCAGTTCTGCCAGGCTTTTGTCCTGTCTGTGAATAGTTCTTGCTGGACGCCCAAGGCAGGGTGACTCGGTAACAGGAGCCCCTCACCCAGAGACCGGCGCTCCCACACCAGAACCGCCGCAGAGGTAAGTGTGCAGACGGGAAACCCTTGTGTGGAGCACATCTGTGATCTCTTGTCCAGTTTGGAGTTTGGAGTAGGCAGCACTTCATGAGACTCATAAATGAAGCTGCCAGTGGAAGTGAAATTGAGGGGGCGGTGGGAGGGCGAAGAGCTTAAAGCCTGAAGTTCTGCTGTGAATCTAGACTGTTCAGGTTTGTTTTCCTGGTAAAGTGATTTTATGCACTCGTGGAATTAACTGCTTATTTTCTTCTTACAGTACTTCTATACAAATGATCTCTTTTACTGAAAACAACTTAAAAACAAGTATTTATTGAAAATCACTTCTTTGGGAGTCTTTTCAGAGTGATCAGAAGTGAAATTTGTAACCTTATCACAAATAAATAAGTGGCGGTGTGGTGAGTGCAGCGCTGTGGCCGCTAATGTCAGCCTTTGCCCCCCGGCAGCGCCATGGCCCGGGAGGAGCTGGGCTACGACCGGATGCCCCCACTGGAGCGCGGGCGGCCGGATGCGGGGAGCTACGCCCCGGACACCAAGCCCAGTGACCTTCAGCTGTCTTCCAGGCTGCCCCCGTGCTTCAGCCACAAGACGTGGGTCTTCTCCGTGCTGATGGGGGTGAGCAGCTCCGCGCCAGGCCCACGGAGACACCGTCCCCTCCGGGGTCCGCTGCCTGGGTGCTGTTCCCCGATGGCCCGGGGAGGAGCAGCCCCGGGCTACTTCTGCCTCTGAGAGACTCACGGGTGCCGATGTGCTTGCTCGCTCTGCTCTTTGAGTTATTTTCCTCAGCTGGTGAGGCTCTGTCCTGCTGGCCCTGCTGGCCTCTGGGCCGTGGCGGCTCTGTGTCCTGGCAGGGGTCGGACAGCCCAGGGCCCACGCTGAGCCTGCCGGCTCATGTGTTGTACCAGGGCGGCCTCCACGACCCTCACCTCCTGGGGGTCTGCAGTGGTGGGGAGGAGGGGCCACGCTCGCAGGAGGGGCCTCTGGGGGGTGGACAGCAGGACGGCGTCCTGAGGCAGGAGCCCAGGGCCATGGGACCAGGGAAGGCTGAGGGGCCAGGGGACAGGGCCAGCAGGGAGGAGGGGGCAGGCCTGAGGGCACCTTGCCTGGGGTCCTGGGACATCTCCCTTCCGATATGCTTGGAAAAGCACTTGGACGACAGAAGAAGCCCTTTTGGCCCGAGCGGGCGTGGTCACCTGGGCTGGCCACTGGACGCACCTCTCTGTGGGCGGGAGCTCGGGGGTCAGCGTGCCGGGGGCCGAGGTCCAGGATCCGGGCTGGGGCCTTGCCTCTCCCTGGGCCCCGGGCTCTGTGGGCCAGCTCCGTGGCACCCTGGTGGTCCTGCCCACCCTCTCCCCAGCCGCTACCCTGTGCCACTGAGACGGGAACTCCCACTGTGTGGGTCGAAGAGGACACTCCTCCCTCCAGCCCCCGGGTGGGCGGTGGGCGGCTGGTCAGCCTCCTCTCACTCCCAGGTCCTGGACTCTGTTGCCCGCAGCAGCCCGCGGCCACAGCCCTTGATCCTGCTGCCCTCTTCTCCCTGAGGGGTGCGCCTTGGCCTCCCCCGCCCCCCGGGCCCGCGGGCCCCAGTGCCCCCATTCCATGGGGTGCGCACGGCCCTCTGCCCACACCCGGGTCTGAGTGACCTTATACCAGTGACTTCGACCCCGTCGCCTCACCCTGTGCAGTGAGTTTCCGTCTCTGGTGCCTTGAGCAGGATGGGGTTGTGTGCTCGGCTCTGTGCCTGGACCTGGGGGGCCCTGAGGCCCCTGAAATTGCACATGTGGGGTGAAGGCATTTTCTGGGGAGTGGAGCCGCCATTTCTTGCTTTGAATTTTGACAGAGTCTCCTGTCCCCCAAATAAGTGTAGATCCCATAACCTGCCCTGGGGGAGGGTGGGCGGCTGCCGTCCTGCAGGGAGGAGGTCTGGCGGGATCCAGGCGGGGATGTCGGTGTTGCACAGAGTTAAGCTGTGGTCAGAGGGCTAGTTGCTCAGCCTCCGCATCTTCAGGCCTGACTGTGTCGTCACCCGCATTTGTGCTGCTGTCTTGCAGAGCTGCCTGCTTGTGACCTCGGGCTTTTCCCTCTACCTGGGAAACGTGTTTCCTTTGGAGATGGATTACCTACGCTGTGCTGCAGGTTCAGTGAGTAGCAGTCCTGTGTCAGCACTGATGTTTGAGGTTATGCATCTGGGTTTTTTGCTCGGAGATTTACCCGTTGCTGTCACTCGCTCCTCATTCAAACTCTCTTCCTGTACTTTGCCTTCGAATAGCATCTGTTGCTTTTGTAAATGATCTATGAGGCAAGTCTATCTTACCCCACAGACTCCAGAGCAAGAAACGGCACTTTGATTTCCAACACGCAGGGGCATGCTGCTCCCGGCTGCCCCATGAGCCGGCAGGGAAGCCCCTCTGTGTTTTGGGGGCCACACCTCACCCCTCCCCGAAGCTTGTACCTGCTTCTGGACTCAGAGCCGAGGCCTGGGGAGCCGCCAGTCCTCATGGGGAGACGACCAGTGACTCTCACCAGCTCAAGCACAGGGCACATCCCCTGGGGTTTGGGGGGCCCTCTCGCCCATCTGCTCTCCTGTTCCAGCCCTGTCAGCATGCCCAAAAGTCTGAAAACACAAGACAGATGCAGCTGCCCTTACCCTGTACCCACCGCCACAGGTTGCCCAGCCTCCACTACCTTAGAAGAAAACCCCTTGAAAGAATTTGACCCGTTTCCTGCCCTTCTCTCTGGAACCTCCTAGGTGGCCCTTTGCTCACCACCGGAGCAGCCCTGGTTGGGGGTCACAGGGACCTGACTCAGATGGCTTCAGAGCCACGCTGACCTAGGCCGATGTCCCAGCAAAATCTTCAGTTACGTCCTTCACCCCCAGGGGTGACGGGCTAGGGAGACCAGTCAGGTGGTCCCACTGGGTCCTCCGTCGGTGCCCAGCCCCCATCCGACCCCTGTTGGGCTCGCCCCCCCCCCCCCAGATCCCACTGCAGGGTCTGGGCGGGGAGGTCCTGTTGCTGCAAGAGCGACACCGGCATGGCCCACGGGACCCAGGCTGGCCCCCCAACTCTGCCCCGCCCTGAGCCCAGGCTGGCCCTCTCCCTTGTCCTCGGCTCCGGGGACGCAGTGGGGACCTCTGACGAGGACCCCGGGGGCTCTGGGGCCCCTGAGCGTTTCTGCTCATTCACAGGCAGATGGTTTCCCCTTTCTGCGTGATTCTTACCAAGACGCGCCTGGTCTCGGGCCACAGGAAGCTACATCGGCTTCTAAGCGCGTCCAGCTAGGACAGTCTTCATTTCGGTGTCTTTTTCATCATCAGAACAATTAAAACTCTTTCCAGAATTATTATTTTGAAAGACCAGGACCCTTCAGCGTCGAGAGGGACCACTGCGTCTGATGGAGGGGGACATGTCTCGGGCCATGTGGGTTTTCAGGACACAGAGTGACCAGCAGGGACACTCACCTGCTCTCTCTTTTCAGTGCATCCCCTCAGCCATAGTGAGCTTTGCTGTCTGGAGGAGAAACGTCAGCGCGGTGAGTCCAGCCTTCTGTCCGCACCCTCTGCAGCCCTGCACCCGCGCCGTGGGGCTTCCTTCAATCCCCCTCCCTCTGCCCCCAGGAGGGTGGAGGGGCCCGAGCTCGCAGGCATCCCCCCAGCTGACTCTAGGTGCCCCATCTTTGGGATGGGTGACGAATGCCCGGTTATGTGGTTGAATGTCACTTGGTTTCTTTCTTCACACAGAGGAGAACGAAACCCCTCCTGTCTTGTTTTCCAGATTCCCAACTTCCAGATACTGTTTGTGTCCACGTTTGCTGTCACCACGACGTGTTTGATCTGGTTTGGATGCAAACTTGTACTGAACCCGTCAGCAGTAGATGTGAGTCCCTGGAAAGCCATGTGGGTCCTCCCGGGGTCACAGGAGCCGAGGGCTCTGGTTCCACTGGGTCTGCTGAGCTCTGTGGGCTCGGAGCTGGCGTTAGTGAGCTATCTGCCGGGTAGTTACACTGGAGATGTGTATCGTAGCTCTTGAGTTTGAGCATTTCATTTAGGCTTCCGAAGAAAAGAATTGTCTTTAACGCTTTCACTGATTTCAGCGGACGAATTCACTGATTTTTGTATCTCTTTCACAACAGTTCTTAAACATTAACAGTAATGTAATAACATCTTTCATCAGATCTGCGATACTGCTGACGTAAGTTGCCCTGTTACTTTATGTTCCGTTAAGAAAAATGGAAGAGTCTTGTCATTTAAATTACAATGCAGCAGAAAAAACATCTCTAGGAAACAGGATCTGATCAGAGATACCTCTGCTCTGTGTTCAACACGTTTTCTTTAAGATCGGGAAGAGGATGTGGTGGCCCGAGGACGTCTCAGCCAGGTGTGTTAGGGCATGCAAAACGGACAGACACGCGGATCTGAAAGGAGCGCCTGTGCTGCCATCTTCTGCAGAAGAGACGATTTTCTCCTTTCTTGACATTTGCATCATTAAGCCCATGTAGCATGGTTGCTGGATGTGAAAATCAATGTAAAACAGTTGCTTGTGCCAGAACCAGAGGTTTTGGAAAATGTTATTTAATTACAGATATCATTTTATAAAGTTCCTGGGAATAAACCTAACAAAAAGTCTGGAGACTCTTGTAGGAAATCATAAAGCCTCGCTGAGAATTACAATGCTTCTTTACCAAAGAAACCCTACGCAGAAGTGGGCGCCTGTCCCATGGGTCCAGAGCAAGTGCGCCTGCAGGCAGGACCCAGCAGGTTTAGGTGGTGACCAAGGGCTGGGGTGGAGCCCCCTTGAAGAACATGTTTGGGGACTCACCCGCACCCCACAGCCGTCCCAGCAGGACTGGAGAGCCGCCCCTGACCAGTCGGCCCAGGCAGCCCCACGTGCGCGGCCGTAGCCCCGGCCCGGAGCACAGCTGTGACCAACCTGGGGGGGCCCTGCCCCCAGCCCGCCCACCACGAAGCCGCGGCCAGTCGTCCCGCAGACACAAGGAGCACACTCTGTACGGAAGGGGACGCGTTCTCTTGGAGCGGCCGGCCAGTCCCAGGGTACATGAGGAGCCTTGGGAAAAAGTGAAGGGCAGCAGGGGACCACGCGGGCGCTCACCAGCAGGAAGCCACAGCGCCAACGCGCAGCTCAGAGGAGCCATACTCGTAATCAGAGGAGGTCAATGAAAGCCACAGGAGATGCCGTTTCCAGCGTTGGGACGGGCGGGAGCCCAGCGTGTTTCCCTCACGTCCGGCAGCTCCTACGCGTTGCTGCAGGCTCTGTGGAAAAGTCTGGAATTTGCAGGTCCTTTTTGAAGAAGTACATACACTGGGGAGCCTCATGGCACAAACCCTGGAGAGACATGCACACATGTGACCAGGCGGTGTGTTCCTAGCAGCCCTGTGGATCGTGGCAAAAACTCCAAACCAAAACAGATAATCCAACGTCCATTACCTAGGGTGGTGCCCCCCAAGTGCACAAAATGGATGAAGAAATTGTGAAAGGTGCATGAAGCTTCATGCTCACAGCCTCCTCCTACTGGATGGCCTCCCCTGGAGCTGGACCTGCATCGTCCCCCAACCCAGGCCCCAGCGCCAGAGCCCGCCGTTAGCCAGACCCTCAGGCTCCTGCCACCTCGAAGGTCCAGCCAGGTCACGTGGAGGACACGAAGCTCGGACACCTAAACACGTGGAAGGACCCCAGGACCACGATGTCAGGACCACCGGTGTCCAAACACAAGGTCACAAATGGTGAAACAGGAAACTGCAGCTGCTCCCCTCCCCTGTCTCCCTGTGGAGCTGGGCGCTGGACTTGAACCTCCGCCCTGGGGACAGCCACGCAGGGCTTCACTGTAGAGTCTCTGCTCCCTCTTTCCCACCTGCCATCCCTGCCTGGGCTGCTGCGTGTCCGCCGTGGGCCCCGCTTTCTTTAGGGAAGGATCCAGCTCCATGGCCTCCGACGCTTCCCTTCCACAACTGGGCCGACGTGGGCACATGCCTTCAGGGTCCTCGTAGGCCGGGGAGGGGCGTGAGTCCACCTGGATTCAGCTAAGCCCAGGACACACCCTTACCGCCGGCGGGAGGCTGCCAGGTCCCATAGCCTTTCCCGCACTTGGCGTCCCCAACAGCCCCCGTTTTCCCATCTGGTGACAGTGCTGTGGCTTGCTGTTACCTCAGGTCACACTCTCTGATCACTAGTACTTTTGAGCCCCTCCTCCTGGGTGTTTGCCCTCTTGGGCTTCCTTCCCGTCCTTGGCTTGTCCTAAATCAGGGGTCTCTTCCTGTGAGCCGCAGCACTTGCTGTCACACCGTGTGTCAAGTTCCCCCGCGAGCTGCTCGACGCCACGCTTTGTATTGTGGCTTCGTGACTCCAGTTGTCTTCCTTCTTCAAAGCTGACAGCTCCTATTTCAAATATATTTCAGGATAAGTTTATTGAGTTCCCCCCAAAATACAGCTGGGTTTCTATTACGATTACTTGATGTTTACAGAGTAATTTTGTGAGAAGTGACATCTTTATTGTGTGGAGTCATCCCACTGAGAGCACAGACCGTCTCTCTACTTACTCACATCATCTCTGTCCTTTGTTAGGGTTGGAAAGTTCCGAGTATTCTTGGTTAGTAACCCCTAGATGATTCACAGATGTGTTGCTAGTATGAATGGTGTCTTATTTATTAAATTATCTTTTCAGATGGCTTATTGCTAGTGCAGAGAGAGGCTACTGATTTTCATTTTTTCTTTATTTTGAAATATTTGAGACTGGAAAGAATTTGCACAAATAGTACAGAGCATTCCTGTGTATCCTTCATCCAGTTTTCCCCAATGAGAGCATCTTACATGGTCAAATCAGGAGACTGACATTGGCACATGTTAACTTAGACCTTATTCATATTGTACTGGTTTTTAAAAAAGGATTTTTATAAGTGGACTTTGTGTCTGGAAGCTTTGCTGGACTCGTATCCTCCGAGTTTTCTGTAGGTTATGTTGGTTTCTCTATGTAGGTCACCCTATTGTCTGCAAATAACGACAGTTTAAACTCTCCTGTTCAGTCTAACCCTGTTGTTCCTTTTTCTCTATCGCTTTGGCCAGGACTTCTGCTACCGTGGGACTCTCTGGCTTTTTCCTGATTTTAAATAGGTTGTATCTAAAGAGTTTCCAATAAGTTTTTGTGTTTTTTTTAAATTTATTTTTGGCTGCTTTGGGTCTTTGCTGCTACTCGTGGGCTTCTCATTGCAGTGGCTTCTCTTGTTGTGGAGCACGGGCTCTAGGTGCGCAGGCTTCAGTAGTTGCGGCTCGTGGGCTTTAGAGCGCAGGCTCAGTAGTTGTGGTGCATGGGCTTAGTTGCTCTGCGGCATGTGGGATCTTCATGGACCAGGGATCGAACCTGTGTCCCCTGCATTGGCAGGTGGATTCTTAACCACTGCGCCACCAGGGAAGTCCCCTTTGTCCGGTTTTAGAACCAGGGTTATACTGGTCTCATAAAATGAACGAGGCAGCTCTCATCTCTTTTGTTTTTTGTAAAACCTTGATATGATAAGAAGTCACTGCTTCTAGAAAGTATGGTAGAACTCACCTGTAAAATCATCTCCATCCGGGGCTGTTGGTGAGGGGTGGTCTTTCATTATTAGTGTTAAAAGTTTTCTGTCTCTTCCTGTGTCAAATTTTGGGTTTTATATTTTTATCAAAAGTTTATGTATATCGTGCAGGTTTTCGAAATTATTAGTTTATAGTCGTTCATCTTGCTCACTGTTTTTAATTCAAGCCAAATATTTTAGTTATTTCTCCTTTTCATTCTGAAATGTAATTTATATCTCTATTGTATCTCTTAGTAGCCTTTTCGAAGAACTGGCTTTGCTCTGTTAACCTCACTTTGTATTTCTGGTTGTCAGTCTCTGCCTAGAACCCTGATGAAACAGACATGTGGGATTATCTTAAAAGGTCACACATTTATTATTGGTTTCTAATATCACTACATTAGGGCCAGAATGTACAACCTATAATGTATTGATTGTTCAGAATTCACCAGGGTTTGCTTTGTGGCCTAATAGAGGGTCAATTTTTGTTACTGTTACACAAATGCTACAAAAGAATGAAAATTCTGTGTTTTATTTTGCATGTACAATTCTGTAGATCCAACTTATTAGTTGCATTTGTTTTTAAATGTAGAATTTTAAAAAATCATCATTGAGGGTATATTGAGGCCAAGAGATCAGGAGACGACTGCCACTGCAAAGACAGTTTATCACAGGTCCCAAGAGGAGGGGGCCCCAGGGCCGGTCAGGAGGCAGGGAGAGGGGACACGTGGGCAGGAGCCTTCACTGGGTTTCCGCAGGGAGAGATGTGAGGCAGGGTGAGCAGGCTCAGACCTGCCAGCGTGAATAATCTCGGTGGGCTCAGGGCAGAGGGGCTGCCCAGGTGATTGGGGCAGGTGGCGGGAGAGGCCCATAGAGGCTCTCGATTGGTTGGTTTTATTTTATTTTATTATTTTTTTGGCCGCGCTGCATGGGATCTTAGTTTCCCGCCCAAGGATTGAACCTGGCCACGGAAGTGAAAGTGCTGAGTCCTAACCACTGGACTGCCAGGAAATTCCCGATTGGTGGGTTTTATATCACACAGTTAAATCAACTTTGTTGGTGTATTGTCCTGTGGATTTAAACACAGGCATGGATTTCTGTAACTGCCAACAGTCAGGACGTGCATCAGCTCCGTAACCCCCAACCCCCTGGTGTTTTCTCTTTGGGACAATTATGCACGGAGCTGCTATAAACGTGGGCAGGTTTTGGTGTGAACGTAAGTTTTCATCCCTTTAGAGTAAATACCCAGGAGAGACCAACCACCAAGGAAGGTTGAGATCAGGGCAGACTACAACCCGAGGGCCAAATCCAGCCCTTGAGCCAACAATAATTTAAAATCAAAAATCCACCAACCAACAAACAAAAAGACATACGTGAGTCAGAGCTGTGTGCCTGGCATCTGGCTTTGGACAGAAAAGTTGCCGAGACTTCGAAGAGATGTCTAAGCCCCTTCATGGGATTGTCCACATTTACGGGATGAAAGTGAAGAAGCCGGTTTTACAGACGTATGTGTTCTCCTTTGGCAGATCAATTTCAATCTGATTCTGCTGCTTCTGCTGGAGCTTTTCATGGCAGCCACGGTGATCATCTCTGCGCGGTCCAGCGAGGCGCACTGCAAGCAGAAGGTTGGTCCGGGCTGAGGCACGGCTGCACCGCAGACCCGGCTGTGGAGCGCGGGGCCAACGGCCCCAGGGAGGCAAACCTGGGGATGCAGCACCATCTCCTCCGTAGCCTGATCCTGACCAAGTAACACCACCCCCACCCCCCAGTAGTGTTACACGCAGAGACCAAGTCCGCCTAAAGTATCACCTTGTAAACTAGGACTTCAGCAATCAAACACATTTTCACATGCAACGAGAAGGTCCGTGTTTGAGCTTTTGCGCTGAAGCCTGGAGATCCAGGAGCGTCTTCCAGATGCTCACATTTCAGACCATCACCCAAGCGACGGCCTGGACGGACGGCCACCCCTGTGATGAGGTTTTGTTTCTTTTCAGGGCTCCATCTCCGAGAGCACCAACATTCTGTATGAAGTGACATTTCCTGCTCGGGTCCTGAAATCCTATTCTGTAAGAAAAGCTTTTCTTTCTCCTTATTTTATTTCATTGTGGGGGGAGTACTAGATAAATATGGTGTAGGCGTGTCCCTGGTACATGAACTGTCCTGGTTGACAGTACACCCCCTTTTACTCTCAATGTGTCCATAAATTATATGTTAATTGTGTTTTCACTCGTTTACGTCCTCTCCAAAATTTTTTAGTCTACTCGTTCTATTACTGAAAGATCTGTTAAAAACCTCCCAATCTGTGGGCATTATCAATTTGTCTTTGTAATTCTGTAGCTTTTCACCATAGAGTTTTGGAGCCTGGGTTTTTAGGTACACGAAAGTTTAGAATTCCTTCCTTCCTTCATTTTTTTTTTTTTAATCAGTACGAGCAACTCTCTTTAGTAATGGCTTTTGCCATAGAACATATATTGTTAACTACGTCAGTTACCTCTCGGTTAATATTTTCCCAGTGTATCTTCCCCTCTTCTTCCAGCTCTTCCTGTCCTTACATCTGGGCAGTTTCGGTACAGAGTGTTGGTGCCGTTTGAATTGAGCTGGTTCACTCAGAGCGCAATTCCTCACACTTTCATATTTATTTCTCCATCTTTTTGTTTCCTATTTTCTATGCCTTTTCCCACCTTCCTTTGAATTGGCAGGAGCTTCTTCCTTCCCTTTCCCATGAATTTGGGTTGGAAATATGCGTTTTTGATATCCCCTTGGAGGTTATCCTCAGTGTCTCAGCACGGGGCACCCTGATGCTCTGCCCTGAACTCACAGGACCCTCCGCACCCCCGCCCCCTTCCAGGGACCCCGGGGAGCCTGCCCGTTCCCCTGGGTGACACTCTCTGCCCCCAGGTCATCGAGGTGATCGCCGGTGTCTCCGCCATCCTTGGAGGGGTCATCGCTCTGAACGTGGATGACGCCATCTCAGGCCCGCACCTTTCGGTGACGTTCTTTTGGATCTTAGTGGCCGTGAGTACACCCTGGGTGGCCCTCATCAGTGTGGCCGACCTTTGAGCTCGGTTTTGGGGCAGTCAGGCTGGAAAGCAGCGGGAGGAGGGGCGGGGGTGGGGAGTGGGCGCTGGTGGGCCGAGCAAGATGCTTCCCAGGTCCTCGTGGGCCCCAGACCAGGGCGATTTGGGAACCGAGGATTAAATGAGTCGGGATGTTAGCTGGTATTATTATTATTATTATTATTTTAAACTGGCTGGAGGATACCAGTACCTCATACAGATGTATTTTTGTAATCACGATACTATTTACTCCCTCAGATTAGCTATTTTTTTAATATACATTTATTTATTTATTTTTGGCTGTGTTGCTGCGCGCAGGCTTTCTCTAGTTGTGGCGAGCAGGGGCTACTCTTTCATTGCGGTGCACGTGCTTCTCACTGCGGTGGCTTCTCTTGCTGCGGAGCACGGGCTCTAAGTGCGGGCTTCAGTAGTTGTGGCACACGGGCTTAGTCGCTCCGCGGCATGTGGGATCTTCCGGGACCAGGGCTCGAACCCGTGTCCCTGCACTGGCAGGCGGATTCTCATCCACTGCGGCACTGGGGACGTGGTAGCTGCTATTAGTATTTTATAGTTTTTGTATTAGTTTCCCTGAAAAGTACTTGTTTTATTATTTTATAACATATGGCATTCGTATTGTTTGAGAATGCGTTTTAAAGTGTAACACATTTGTATTGTTTTACATTGAAGACGACTACCGTAAATGCCTAGCGCCGCACCTGGTGCTTGGTAAGTGCTTACTGACTACACGGCCACTGTTCTAAACACGGGCCTTTCATCCTTTTATAAGTAAGTCCGAGTTGACTTACGAAATTTAACGTTGTTTAGCGTTTAGCTGAACACGCGGCCCCCAGGCTTCGGACCCCCTTTGTGCTGCCGGCTGGGCGTGGGCCACACATCTGCTTGGAGCAGCTGCGATGGGCCCCTGCACACCCGAGTTTCCACGTGTCACGTGATGCCCCCATACCACAGGCTCCTGTGCTTGGTGCTCCCACACCAAGGGCCTGGGCATTTCCTTTTCCTCTGTGGGCGTGTGGATGGGTAACTGGGGCCCGGACACACCTGGGCCCAGCAGGCTGTGCTGGGCTGGGGCGGCGGACCCCTGGGCGCCTGGACCCCCAGCTGGGGGGCAGGTGGATGGCAGGGGGCTGGGCCCAGCACTCAGCAACCTCGAGGAAGCCCTGTGCTCCCCTGAGCTTCCCTCTGCCAGAATCGTGTAGAACTAAATCAAGCTCCTTAAAATAAGTGGGAAAAGGCATTTATTGATTACAAAGGGACAGGAATGCTGGTCCAATGGAGGAGCCCCCAGTGGTCAAACACGGTGGGCAGGGGCGCGGTGTCTCCAGGGGCCCTGAGTCTGATAGCCCAACCGAGCCCGCCAGCGGCCACCTGGCGCTCCCTCCAGAAATGCGGCATCGTGAAGGCGGCACCGCTGAGCGTCAGCTGAGGCCTCCCCATCAACGAGGCCAGCGAACTGACAAGAAACATGAAGCGTGATCATCGACTGGGTCCTGAGCTGGGAACAGACCCAGCTGGACCAGGACATCATCGGGACAATTGCAAGTTGGAACACAGACCCTGCCTCGGACAAAGCTGCTGAGTCTGTATTACGTTTCCCCGGTGCGGTGCTGAATCGAGACGGAGCAGTAGACACGCACACGAGCATTTGGGGGCGGGTGCCGCACCTGAGAGAGCAGGTGTGCGGGTTCCAGGCTGCTCTGCCTCTCTTGCACGGATCCTCGGCTCTCCTGGCGACCAGGATGGCCCGAATCAGAACGGGAGGGTACACGTTTGGGATCTGACTTGCTGGGCTCTCATCTCTGAAGCCTTTCTTTTTCCTTTTCTCTTAGTGTTTTCCAAGTGCCATTGCCAGTCATGTGACGGCAGAGTGTCCCAGCAGATCTCTGGTAGGTGAAGCCCGGCCGGGTTCCAGGCACCCGCGGAGCGACCTGCCGGGCTGGGCGGGGTCTGGGGTGAGCATCTGAGGGGCGTCTGCAGGCTGCAGGCTTGAGGGGGCCTCGCGACTGTCCGAGGGCTGGGCCGTCTGTGGAAGTAAGCAGAAACGGCCCAATTGGCATAAGAGTCGGGAGAGATTCCTGGGACTCAGCAGAGGCGGCGTCCTGTCCGGCTGTGGATGTCGGACAGTGACAGTCGCTAAACCGGCCCAAGTGAGCTTCCGAGCTGGTGCTGAGCTCAGCCGACACCTGGGCCTGCGTGGCCTCTGGGCCAGGCATGGCGCTCCGAGGCGGGAGGGCCTTGGAAGGTCGCAGGAGCAGGTCAGAGGGCACTGGGAGGAGGCCATCAATTCCTAAGTGCTATGTTATCAACAGAGCGAATTGCGCCTAAGTCGAGAAAACTTGCGAGACACATGGTGAGCTTTGAATTAACGGGCAAACCGAGCACAGAGACTCAGCAGGTGCCCCAGGCTGGACGCAGACACACGCCAGCTCGTAACTCCCGCTGTGTGATTGCCGGGCCGCACCCTCTGTCCAGGCAGTGGCTCCCAGACCCCGACCTCCCACTCTTGTCTGCTTCCCGCCAGGTGGAGGTGCTGATAGCCATCTGCAGCCTCGCGGCCCCGCTGCTGTTCACGGCCTCGGGGTACCTGTCCTTCAGCGTAATGAGAATCATGGACGTCTTTAAAGATTACCCGCCAGACTTCAAGGTGGGTGTTCTTTTATTTTATTTTAAACTCTATAGAAACACGATGCCGCTGAGCAGCGCTGAGCCGCTGCCCACGTCGGGGCAGATGGCCGGAGCTGGCTTTGCACACGGCCTGACGCGCATGGAGCTGGTTCTGCTAATTTGCTTTTCTCCGTGCACTGAGGCGTCTGTGCACCCTTCTCTGATGCCCGTTCTGCCCGGCACCGCTCAGCTGCTTCTGTTCTTCTCCTCTGGGCTGCTCTGTCCTGGGCACCCCCCAGACACCCCTCTTCACAGGCGCCTTACATTTTCTCGGCCCTGTTCCCATCCACTTGCATTTAAGAGTCACCGTTTGTCCAGTTTCATGAGAGACCCCATTGGCTCCTGGGTAAACTGAGGAGAGTGAGAGCCTCCCCTCTACGGGGGCTTCTCGGGGGTCCAGCGTCCTCCCCGCAGGCTCGGGCTCCAGGTGAGGTTAGTTTCAGTATAGACAGTGTTTGCCCCCAAATGTTTATCATGAGAAATTTCAAACATACGGAAGAGTTGAAAGGTTAATGCAGTAAACACTGAGATTCCCTGGTGGTTTACGTGTGTGTCCGCGTGCGTGTTTATGCTGACAGGTGGGTGGAGCACACACACGGCCATCGTTTTCCAGAAGCATATGAAAGCGAGTGGCAGAGGTTTGAGGTGACCCTTCGCCCTTAGATGCTCTGGCATCTCAACAGTAAGGACAGTCTCCTGCACAGCTGAGGTGGCTGACGTGCTAGGTGACAGCACATTGTCCCCTCAGACCATCCCGAGAAGATGCTTCGTGGGCTGAGGTTCTCAGAGCTGTGAGGGTCGCTCAGTCTCTTTGGATCTGGGACAGTTCCCACTTCTCCCCCAGGACACTGACCTTTCGGAGTCCAGGCCAGTTGTCCGGGAGATGGTCCCACCTGTGGATCTGTTTGCAGTGGCGTCAGCGGGAGCGAGTCCAGGTGCGCTGGTGTTGCCATCCTGGCTGGCTTGCAGCGGCTTGCAGCGCTCCCTCCGAGAGCGGAGGGCAGGCGATCCCTAGCAGGACGGAAGTGCCTGTGGGCAGCACTGAGGGCTGCTTGCGGCCTGGGCCACAGGGGAGGCCGGGGCGCTCATACCTGCACCTGCCCGAGAACCCCACGGAGGACGTGTGCTCGTCGTTGTCGGCAGAGCGCTGCATCCTTTGTTCTTTGACGCTCAGGGCGACCCCACCCTGGGCTCCCAGATGCCAGCACATCCTCCTCTCCCGTCAGACGCTTGAGATGGCCTGGGCTCACCTGGTCCTTGTCCTGCCATGTCTCGCCCTTGCCCCTGGAGGGGGGCCGTGTACCCATTCCTGTGGGGGCATCATTACTCCTGAGCCCTGTCAGTGGACAGAGCTGAGAAATGTATGTCCACTTAAAGATCCCTGACGTATATTGCTATTTCCAACTCAAATTTTACATTCTAGGGTTTTTTCCCCCTTAACCTCTGTTATTTTATATTTGCATCATTTTTCTCTTAGTCCAAAAATCCTGGTAACATTGAATATAGTTACTGCTTAATTTTGCCTGACAACTCACACGTGTTCACAATTACAGGACCCATTTTCGACCAGCAGCGCACCTGCTGGGTGAGGGACGGCTCGCTGTACTCGGAGGTACGGTCATGTGCTCTGCGAAGGAACCCCCTTCTGTGAGCGGTCCTGCTACACAGTCAAGTTTAATGGTTTCTCTTTGTATTCAGTTTTAGGCTCTGATGCTTTTTTCCCTCTTAATAGTATTTTTGAATATATAAAACTTTCACATGGTTCAAGTCAAATCATCTGAAAGGCAAATTCAGGGGAGTTGTGGTCCCATCCACGGCTTCCCCGATTCCTTCTGCAGGTAATCTACAGTGCATATTATTATTTTCCTTCTTTCCTACAAAACAGGTCACTCTGATCACGCTTCTACACCTTACCTTTTTTTTTTTTTTAACTTAATTTCTCCTGGGGGCTCCCGTTTTCCCTCCCACCAACGGTATGAGAGCACCTGCTTCTCCGTATCTGGGGAGGGTTGCCACACTGGGCTTTGTAACACAGGTGAGAGACAGAGCCTTGGGTGGGGCCGTTACGCGCATCTCTCTGAAAATGAGTGACCTCTTGCGTGCCTACAGTGCTGCATTTCCCCAGTAACCTCCATCCGTGTCTCTTGACCATTTTCTAGTGGGCTTTGAGAACGCTGCTAACACAGGGAGCCCAGTCCTCCGTCAGACACAGAAGATGCAAGCGGCAGCCTCAGCTCAGCAACTGTTTTCACTGCTTGTTGTGATTTTTGTCATGGGGAAACTGTTGTCGTCGTCGTTGTTTTTTGTTTTTTGCGGTACGCGGGCCTCTCACTGCTGTGGCCTCTCCCGTGGCGGAGCACAGGCTCCGGACGCGCAGGCTCAGCGGCCATGGCTCACGGGCCCAGCCGCTCCGCGGCACGTGGGATCCTCCCGGACCGGGGCACGAACCCGCGTCCCCTGCATCGGCGGGCGGATCTCAACCGCTGCGCCGCCAGGGAAGCCCTGTTGTTGTTTTTATGTAGTTAAATTTGTCAATATTTTCCTTTATTGCTTCTAGATTTTAAGTCACAATTAGAAAGGCTCGTACTTGTGTTTCCGCGGGAGTTTAGCCTGGAGTGCAGCACAAGGAGTGGGCCCCATCGGACTTTCCTCAAATGGCTCGTGGTTCAATACTGTTTATTGAAAAGCCCACCTTTTCCTCAGTCATCTGAGACTCTGCCTTCATCACGCACTGAGCTTCGGTCTGTTTGCGTCCGTTTCTGCCCTGACTGTCCCCCCTCGGCCGGTCTGTGCCGCCAGGTGCACCCTGGAGGTTTGCACCAGGCATCGCCACCTGGCCTGCTCGATGCCTCGCAGCCGGCTGCCCTGCGTTCCGGGGCTGACTCACTTCTGTCGCTTGCTAGTTCTTCTTTATGAATGCTATTTATTTATTTATTCATCCATTTATTTATTTATGGCTGCGTTGGGTCCTCGCTGTTGCACGTGGGCTCTCTCTAGCTGCGGTGAGTGGGTGCTACTCTCCATTGCGGTGCGCAGGCTTCTCATTGCCTCATTGCGGCGGCTTCTCTTGCTGTGGAGCACAGGCTCTAGGCACGCAGAGCTTCAGTAGTTGCGGCACGTGGGCTCAGTAGTTGTGGCTTGCAGGCTCTAGAGCGCAGGCTCAGTGGTTGTGGCGCACAGGCTTAGTTGCTCCGCAGCATGTGGGATCTTCTTGGACCAGGACTCGAACCCATGTCCCCTGTGTTGGCAGGCGGATTCTTAACCACTGCCACCAGGGAAGTCCCTCTATGAATTTTAGAATCACCCTGCCTGGCTCTAGATAGCCAGCCCAATGTTGCATTTTTTAAAAAACTCGACTCATGGTTAAATGTGCATATAAACTTCAGAGCTGTTGAGTCTTTTTGGTTTTTTTCTAACAGTGACATTTTCTGGGCTCTTCTTTGTCTTAACGTCATGTTGTTTTGTATTTCTGAGGCTGGAAGGACACCCCTGCAGTGTGGGGAGGGGCCAGTGCTCTGTGGATGTCCTTGCAGCCACTGGGGCTTCCTCTAGTCCCGGGCAGACCCCTCCTCGCCAGCAGCCAGTGCCGCACCCTCCAGCCTCGAGACGGATCTGTCGACCGTGCCTGTGTCCCGCCGCCCCGGACCCTGCCCCTGTCTCTCGTCCGGCTCGGGGCCTCCACGGCAGACCTCCGCCCCATCTGGGCACCCTCGGCGAGGCCACGGGTGGTTTCAGTGGCTCCGCTGTGGACACGAGTGGTTGTTGGGAGGCCTGGACGACTTGACCCGGGCAGCGGCACCATCACCCTGTCGCCCCACGAGGCGGGTCATCTTTGTGTCCCTCTGTTAAACCCAGAGCAGAAGTGATTTCCTCAACTCTCTCTCACTGAGACAGAATGTTCCTGCTCAGGCTGGTGACATAACAGGGCACAGTGGGGTGAGAGCCTGAAACCGCTCCACACAGACTGAGGCAGGGCTCACGGTCTGTGCTTCGGGGCCATGGCCTGGGAAGCCTGTGCGCTGCCTCCCTGGGCAGTGGGCCCACGCGGTGGGGCCTGGGGGCGGCTGAGAGCCAGGAGGAGAGGCCCCGGGCTGCTCACCGCCCGTCTCCACCCCCGGCAGTCCTACGACGCGCTTCTGCTGCTACTGATGCTGGAGCTGCTGCTGCAGGCGGGCCTCAACACGGCCACGGTCATCCAGTGCGTGCGCTTCAAGGCGGGCGCATCCTGGGACGCCGCACAGACCGGCCCGCAGGGACGCCCGGCGGGAGAGGTGAGTGGCCTCCGAGCGAGCGTGGCTCCCTGTCCCGTCCCGTCCCGTCCCATCCCAGTGGGGCTGTCTTCCCAGGGCCCTGGGCAAAGCGACGCCCACCTGCGCTGACTTCTTTCAAGACCTGTTGGGTCACTTCGTATTTTTTAAAATGCCCCAGAAAAATCTTGGAAAGGTACAATACGTTATACGCTTTTTAAGCCAGCCAGGCCAACACAAATCCATTTCTGGAAAGGTGTTATGGGCTGAATGCTTCCAGTTCTACTCTTACAAATGTAGAAGAGAACTTGGCAAACATCTGCATGGATCACAGAGCTTTCCCTCCTGCGGCTCGTCAGGGTGCCCACTACAGACGTGGCGTCAGCGACCCCTGGCCGGCGGGCTCTGAGGGTCACGCCAGCCCCTCGGCCAGGCTCAAGGCCGCTGCACTTTCCCCAGGCCCTGCCTCTTGTCCCCGTGAGCTGCCCACTGTGGTGCTTTTACCGGGCAAACCTGCCCACTGTCCTCCAGGTGCACGATGCTCCGTGTACCTGGGAGGCTGCTGCAGGGCCCTCCAGGGCGACCCTGGGTGGACCGGGCGCTCCTCCCGCCCAGCCACCACCCGGGCCCACCCCGTCTCACGTCCTGCTCTGCTGCTCTCTGGCAACACGTCCAGCGCGGCCAGCCTCCCGCCTTCGTCACCCTGTCGCCCCCCGAGGCTTCTCCCGCCCTTCCTGGGGGACGCACTCCGGCCGTCGGCCCCTCCTCAGCCACCCTACCCACCCCACCTCTCCCTTCGTTGCACTTCTCATATGGCGTCGTTTGGTTGTTGTTTTTACCTGGTTGTGGTCAGTCCCCGGCGGGGTTGGCTTTGTCCCTGGGTCCCACGTGAGGTCCCCCTGGTTCTGCGTCAGGATGCCAAGGTGCAGTGTCAGGCCAATGAATCCTCCCCCCACGTTCCAGAACTGCCAGTTCTGGGGGCTCAGGGGGTGCTGAGCCGGGCAGCTGTCCTCCCTGTTTGTTGACCGTTGCCTCAAGCGTCCTCCCTCCCCTGTTGTCATGCCCCTGGAGATGCCTTCACAGCCTCCGGGGCCAGGTCAAGACCGCTTCTCTGTGGACGGTCCAGCCTCTGTCCCCAGGAAGAGCTTGGAGGGACTTAGCCCTGCACCCTGGTGTGTATCACTCCACAGTGAGCAGTATTTGCTGAGCACCTGCTGAATGCAGATGCTGCTCTGCCAGGTGCTGGGATGCAGACCCATAGGGAGAGGCCTCACAGGCAGGGGCAGGCTCCACCCGAGCCCCCGGCTCCCCGGCTGTTGGGAGGATGCCCACTCATGGCAGCCTCCCACCCCCCATCCAGAGCCCACCCCGCAGCCCAGGCCCCGCCCCTGAGGAGGACATGTGCTCTGGGTCGTGGCCGGAGGTGCCGGGGCTCTGGGACAGCAGAGTAGTGAGAGGGAACTGAGCCTCCTTCCTGCTTCCTGCCGCGTGGGTGGCCGGGGACAAATAACTCTTTGCCTGTCTCAGTCACAGGTGTCCAGAAGCCCCCTGAAGGAGTTTGACAAGGAGAAAGCGTGGAGAGCCGTCATGGTGCAAATGGCCCAGTGACTGCGGACCCAGCCTGTTAACTTAACGCACAGACGCTAGTCGTCCCTGAGCCGCGACCTTCCAACTCGCCCCTCCCCTTTCGTAGGGCAGGCTGGGCTGCAACGTGGAGTTTTCATTTCTTATGGTAGTTTAAATTTGAAATAGGCAAACATTGACTATTTTGCGCTGACTGGGGGGGATGGAATCAGTTCAGTGCTCCGGAGGTGGCCTAACCACAGGAGCAGTGGCACGGGGCCCCCAGGTGAAGGAGGGGCCCACGCTAGAGCTGAATTCTCCAGGCGCTGACATTTGGGCAACCACGGGTCTCTGAGCTCCCGGTCCGACCAGTGACCGGCTGCCGGTGTCTGCTCCTCCAAACCTCGCCCCGCCTTCCTGACCTGCTTTTGTTGAGCACCTACTGTCCGCAGCCAGCAGACACACCTCGCTAAGCCGTGCGTGGATCTCACCCATTTCGGCCCTTCTCTTCTTGGGGGCCCAGCCCGCTGAGTGAGCATGGATTCCTTGACGAGGGCAGAGCTGCTTCCGCCCTGTCTCGAGAGCCCGTGGAGCTACTTCCCCCAGAGCCGGGGGTGCAGGGCAGCCCCCACCCCCAATGCGCAGCCTTCCCCACGTGAAACCCACCTGCCTGCGTTTCTGCTCTCTCTATACTTAAACCCAGTCTTTCCGGAAGGGCCCCCGTTCAGTGGCGCTGGTCCATGCACGGGTGTCCTACACGGCCAGTGGAGACCCAGCTCAGCAGCAGTCAGCCTGCACCCGTCCCGAGCCCTCTGTCAACAACACTGGGGCCGCTCAGTGTTCTCTGGGGTAAGGCCCTTGTCCAAGGCTCTGAAAACTGACAGCTCACATCTCCACGTCTCGGTGGCCTCCGTGTCCCGGGCGGGCCAGGAAGACAAATGCCTTGGTCAGGCCCCCAGACAAGCACGGGGGCAGCAAGGTGGCTCTCACCTGCACACAAGCAGCCCCCACCCAGCCGCAGCCCACGGGGCCACCTCCCCTTCCTGCAGCTCCCCAGCCTGGACGGGAGCCAAGGGGACAGTGCAGGTGTGGCTGATGTCTCCTGGGGGTCCAGAAAGTCTGAGTCTTAGAGCTGGAATGAGGTGCCTGGGGGCTTAACACAGGCCTGCACTTTCTTATTTCAGAGAGAGCTTGAAAAATCCACACAAATGGGGTTTTAAAAGTGTATAGTCCTGTCTCTGTCAATTTACATTTTTGTGTGATATAGTTTAATACTGCCTGAGCAATAAATGCTAACATGTCAATGTGGCCCAGGTGCCTATTTAACTCTGGGTCTCTGGGTATTTCCGGGCCCAGATCTGAAACAACTGAGAGGTAAAGTGTAGGAGGGGGATGGGGGCGAGGGCCACCTTTTAATTCATTCATGATTTATGTTGCCCTGAGCCAGCCTGCAGTGGGATCTGGTGGAGACGGGAAAGGCACTGGGGCCCACCCAGGGGAATGCCCACCACCCCTCATTGAGTGGGCGCAGAACCTCACTTTCGGGTTATCTTGGGAAGTTAGATGCAAAATAAAGATTTTTAAACCAAATAAAGATGACATGTAGATTTGGGAAAGTTACCAGGAGGAAAGGCACTGATGGGGTGGGCGGGTCTTTCCTACTCACCCCTCCCTCCGCAAAGATGCTGGACCAGAGACGCAGGATATCTGGGTGGGCTGGGACACTGGCCAATGCTGGGAATCCCCGGGGAGGCGGGTCAGGCCCCACGAGTGACCCTGGGGACACCAGAGCACACTCCCTGGTGGGCTGGGGGCGTTCTGCTGGGGGACAAAGGATGTTAGGTGCGGAGGGAGGCCCGAGGTGTGGACCAGAAAGAGGCCCGAGGGTCCCGGGACACAGCCTGCCCTGGACAGCCCGGCTGGTTCCGCAGGGTCGGGGGCCCGGGTGTGGCCCTCGGGTCTTTATGACCTGGGGGGTCTGACTGCCAGGGCGGGTCTGTGTGACTCTGACACCCGGAGCGGGGCGGGACCGCGTGATCCCAGCCGGGGCGCGCGCCACTCGCTGGCCCTCCTCCCCGCGGACACCATGCCCGGCCCCCGGCGCCCCGGCCCCCGCGCGGGCCGCGGCCGCGCCTCGGACTGCAGCCCCTGCCGGGGGCCCCGCCTGGGTGCCCCCGGCCGCCGCCTGTGGGACCCCACGGCCCCCGCGCGCCGTCGTCCCCGGAGCCGCACTCTGAGCCACTCCCGCAGCCGCTCCCGCCGCCCCCTGCCGCCCGCGCGCCCGCGCAGCCCCACGCCCCGCGCCGGCCGCCGCCGAGCCGCGCTCCCCGGGCCCAGCTGCCGGCGCCCCGGTGCTGCCGCACAATGCGCCGCGCGGCCCGGGCCCGTCACCCCGGGCAACCGGAGGACGCGGGACGGCGCGACGGGGGGCGAGGGCACGGGCCCCCGCCCGGGTGAGCACGGGGCCAACCGCCCTCCGCTCCTCCGCCCCTGGGATTCTAGACCAACCCCGCGGAGTCCCGGACCTATCCTTCCTTCGGAGCTCCTGACCGCCCCCCTACTCCAGACCTGCCCAGCCCTACACTTCTGGACCCCGCCTTCGGCCCCCCCCCCCCGACCCCAGTCTGCGTCCCCCCCACCCCAGACTTCCCCCTCCCCCCCCGCCCTGCTCTCGCCCCTCTGAGTTCCCTGCTTCTATCAGCACTGATACCCCCTTGCAGGGGTCCATGCAGTGGAAGGGAGGAAAGTTGAGGTGCCCGAGGCCGAGGCCGGAATGGAACCGTCTGCGTCATCGGAAGGGGAGCGGAGAGGAGAATCTAGTCAGTATTGTCCTGGGCCCGCCGCCCTGGGTTTCCTGAAAGGGACGGCCAAGCTCAGGCTCGGGGAGGGGGCATCCATCTGTTCTGTTGATCTGTCTGCCCGTCCTTATTCCGAAGTACCTGCTTTAATTCCAGGAGCCTCGTAATGTCTTAATATTTCTCTGACTTTGTTCTTCAAGATGTGCTCAGGTTTTCTTGGACTTTTGCATTTTTAGAATCGATTGTTAATATAAGCCCCCCCAACAACCACACACACACACACACACACACACACGCGAGTCCTGCTGGGATTTTGTGATTCCATTGAATGTGTAGATCAATTGGGGTGAGAATTAACATCTTAATACCCAGACTTCTGATCATGAACATTAGCTCTTTCATTCTTGTCAGTAAGGTTCCCACTTTTAGTTACAGGTGTGCAAGACCTTTTGTTAGAATCACTCCCAGATAATCCATGCTTAATACTGCTGTAGGTGGCATTTTTGAGTTTCATTTTCTAATTGTCTCTAGTGTATAGAAATACAGTTGAATTCATTTTCCTGGCTTGGTGGTTGGTGACCTTGGTAAATACACTACTAACTCATATAATTAGATTTATTACATACACAATCATCACCTGCAGATCTTTTCAGTCTTTATACCTCTTATTTCCTTTTCTTGCATTATTGCATGGGCTAGCACTTTTGAGTATAATGTTGAATAGATATGATATAGTGGACATCTTTTTTTGTTTCCACACTCAGGAGGAAAGTGCTCAGTGTTTCACCATGGAATATGATGTATAAGTTTTTAAAAATTTTTTAAACATGATTTTTTTTCACATTTCTTTGACTGTCAAGTTTTCTTTGGCAAATTTATCTAAAATATTGAATTTTCATTTTAGAACCTATTTTATAGTTATAATACAGAGGCCCTAAACTGATCCAGGTTCACCAGGATACCTTTCTCTAAGCCCTAGTGGTTAATATTTTCCCTATAAAATGTACAAGTATCTTTTAATTAAGTTGTCATTCACAAAAATTATAAATTAAACACCTACAAATTCTTGTTCCTATACGTTTTAAAGGAAGTTCCCTTTATTCCTAGTTTACTGAGAGTTTTAAAACAAGTAGTTATTACATTTTATCATATGTTTTCTTCTGCATATTTTTTCCTTTAGTCTATCAAATGACTACGTTATGGATTTTCAAATATTAAACAAACTTTGTATCCCTAAAACAAATACCACATGGTCAAGTGTACTGTTTTATATGTCACTGGATTTGATTTACAAATATTTTAAGATTTTTGTGTCTATTTTTATAAGCAAGATTGGCTTGTAATATTTCTTTCTTTTAAAAAGGTCCTTGTCAGATTTTGGTGTTAAATGTATGACCTCATAAAAAAAACTTGAAAAAGAAAAAAAAAGAAAGGGTTGAAAAGGCTTTTCTACTTTCCTCTTTAGTGATAGGGTTTATATGGGGGTTTTTGGGGTTTTTTTTTTTTTATGAAATATTTGGACAGATTGACCTGTAATGCCATCTAGGCCTGGCTTCATTGTGGGAAACATTTTAAATATGGAGTTAATTTGTTTAACAGAAATAGTCCCATCTGGATTTTCTATTTCTTTTATGTCACTTTTGATAAGCAGTGTCATTTAAGGAAAATGTCCATTTCATATGAATTGCCAAATTATTGACATGTGGATGTTTATAATATCTTTTTTTATTGAAGTATAGTTGATTTACAATGTTGTGTTCATTTCAGGTATACAGCAAAGTGATTCAGCTATATATAATATATATATATATATGCTTTTTCAGATTCTTTTCCATTATAGGTTATTACAAGATATTATTCCCTATGCTATACAGCAGGTCCTTTTTGTGTATTTATTTTGTAGATAGTAGTGTGTATCTGTTAATCCCAAACTCCTAATTTATTCCTCCCCCCACCTTTCTCCTTTGGTAACCGTAAGTTTGTTTTCTATATCTGTGAATCTATTTCTGTTTTTAAGTAAGTTCATTTGTATCATTTTTTTAGATTCCACATATAAGTGATATCAAATGATATTTGTCTCTCTCTGTCTGACTTACTTCACTTAATATGATAATCTCTAGGTCCATCCATGTTGCTGCAAATGGCATTATTTCATTCTTCTTTGTGGCTGAGTAATATTTCATTGTATATGTATATATATGTATACCACATCTTCTTTATTCATTCATCTGTTGATGGACATTTAGGTCTCTTCCATGTCTTGGCTACTGTAAATAGTGCTGCCGTGAACATGGGGGTGCAGGTACCTTTTCAAATTAGAGTTTTCGTCTTTTCTAGCTATACACCCAGGAGTGGGATTGCTAGATCATATGGTAACCCTATTTTTAGTTTTTTAAGTAACCTTCATTCTGTTCTCCATAGTGGCTACACCAATTTACGTTCCCACCAACAGTGTAGGAGGGTTCCCTTTCCCCACACCCTTTCCAGCATTTATTATTATTTTATTATTTTTGATGGTGGCCATTCTGACTGGTGTGAGGTGATACCTCATTGTAGTTTTGATTTGCATTTTTCTAGTAATTAGTGATATTGAGCATCTTTTCATGGGCCTATTGCCATTTGTATGTCTTCTTTGGAGAAATGTCTGTTTAGATCTTCTAAATCCCATTTTTTGATTGGGTCATTTGTTTGATACTGAGCTGTTTATATATTTTGGAAATTAATCCCTTGTCAGTTGCATCATTTGCAAATTTGTTCTTCCAGTCCATAGGTTGTCTTTTCATTTTGTTTATGGTTTCCTTTGCTGTGCAAAAGCTTTTAAGCTTAATTAGGTACCATTTATTTATTTTTGCTTTTATTTTCATTACTTTAGGAGATGGATCAAAAAAATATTGCTGCAATTTATGTCAAAGAGTGTTCTCCCTATGTTTTCCTCTAGGAGTTTTATCCAGTCTTACATTTAAGTCTTTAATCCATTTTGAGTTTATTTTTGTATATGGTATTAGAGAATGTTCTAATTTCATTCTTTTACCTGTAGCTGTCTAGTTTTCTGAGCACCACTTATTGAAGAGGCTGTCTTTTCTCCATTGTATATCCTTGCCTCATAGATTAATTGACCATAAGTACATGAGTTTATTTCTGGGCTCTCTATCCATTGATCTATATTTCTGTTTTTGTGCCAGTACCATACTGTTCTGATTACTGTAGCTTTGTAGTATAGTCTGAAGTCAGGGAGTGTGACACTGCCAGCTCCCTTCTTCTTTCTCAAGATTGTTTTGGCTATTCAGGGTCTTTTGTGTTTCCATACAAATTTAAAAATGATTTGTTCTAGTTTTGTGAAAAATGCCATTGGTAATTTGGTAGGGATTGAATTGAATCTATACATTGCTTTGGCTAGTGCGGTCATTTTAATATATTGATTCTTCCAATCCAAGAACACAGTATATCTTTTCATCTGTTTGTGTCATCTTCAATTTCTTTCATCAGCATCTTATAGTTTTTGGACTACAGGTTTTTTTGCCTGCTTAGGTAGGTTTATCCCTAGGTATTTTATTCTTTTCAATGCAATGATAAATGGGATTGTTTTCTTAATTTCTCTTTCTGATCTTTTGTTGTTAGTATATAGAAATGCAACAGATTTCTGTATATTAATTTTGTATCCTACAACTTTGTAGTGAATTCACTGATGAGCTCTAGTAGTTTTCTGGTGGCATCTTTAGGATTTTCTATGTATAGTATCATGTTGTCTGCAAACAGTGACAGTTTTACTTCTTCCTTTCCAATTTGGTTCCTTTTATTTCTTTCTCTTCTCTGATTGCTGTGGCTAGGACTTCCAAAATTATGCTGAATAAAAGTGGTGAGAGTGGGCATCCTTGTCTTGTTCCTGGTCTTAGAGGTAATGCTTTTCACCACTGAGTATGATGTTAGCTGTGGGTTTGTCATATATGGACTTTATTATGTTAAGATAGGTTCCCTCTAAGCCTGCTTTCTGGGGAGTTTTCATCATAAATGATGTTGAATTTTGTCAAAAGCCTTTCCTTCATCTATTGAGATGATCACGTGGTTTTTATTCTTCAGTCTGTGAATGTGGTGTATCATGTTGACTGATTTGTGGATATTGAAGAATCCTTGCATCCCTGGGATAAATCCCACTTGATCATGGTGTCATGGTGTATGATCCTTTTAATGTATTGTTGGATTCAGTTTTCTGGTATTTTGTTGAGGATATTTGCATCTATGTTCATCAGTGATATTGGCCTATAATTTTCTTTTTTTGTAGTATCTTTGTCTGGTTTTGGTATCAGGGTGATAGTGTCCTCATAGAATGAGTTTGTGAGTGTTTCTTCCTTTGCAGTTTTTTGGAATAGTTTCAGAAGGATAGGTGTTAACTCTTCTCTAAATGTTTGGTAGAATTTACCTGTGCAGCCATCTGATCCTGGACTTTTGCTGGTTGGGAGTTTTAAAATTACTAATTCAATTTCAATACTGGTAATTGGTCTGTTCATATTTTCTGTTTCTTCCTGGTTCAGTCTTGGGAGAGTGTACCTTTCTAAGAATTTGTCCATTTCTTCTAGGTTGTCCACTGTATTGGCATAGAGTTGCTTGCAGTAGTCTCTTATGATCCTTTATATTTCTGTGGTGTGGGTTGTAACTTCTCCTTTTTCATTTCGGATTTTATTGATTTGGGCCCTCTTCCTTTTCTTCTTGATGAGTGTAGCTAAAGATTTATCAATTTTGTTTACCTTTTCAAAGAACCAGCTTTTAGTTTCATTGATCTTTTCCATTGTTTTTTTTTAGTCTCTATTTCATTTATTTCTGCTCTGATCTTTATGATTTCTTTCCTTCTACTAACTTTGGGTTTCCTTTGTTCTTCTTTTTCTAGTTGCTTTAGGTGTAAGATTAGGTTGTTTTTTCTTGTTTTTCTAGTTGCTTTATGTGTGAGATTAGGTTGTTTATTTGAGATTTTTCCTGTGTCCTGAGGTAGGCTTGTATCGCTACACCTTCCGTCTTAGAACTGCTTTTGGTATTATGTCTGACAGAGTTTGGATTGTTGCGTTTCCGTTTTTATTTGTCTCCAGATATGTTTTAATTTCCTCTTTGACTTCTTCAGTCACTCATTGGTTGTTTAGTAGCATATTGTTTACCCTCCACCTGTTAGTGTTTTTTGCGGTTTTTTTTCTTGTAGTTGATTTCTAGTCTCATAGTGTTGTGGTCAGTCTATTTAAAGGTTTATCAATTTGAAAAAAAATGTTTCAAAGATCCAACTTTTGGTTTTGCTAATTTTCTCTATAGTACATTTGTGGGTTTTCTTAAAAAAATTATTTATTTTTAATCTTGGCTGTGTTGGCTCTTCATTGCTGCACGCAGGCTTTCTCTAGTTGCAGAGAGCGGGGGCTACTCTTCGTTGCGGTGCACGGGCTTCTCATTGCAGTGGCTTCTCTTGCTGTGGAGCACAAGCTCTAGGCGCAGGCTCAGTAGTTGTGGCGCACGGGCTTAGTTGCTCCACGGCATGTGGGATCTTCCTGGACCAGGGATCAAACCCGTGTCCCCTGCGTTGGCAGGCAGATTCTTAACCACTGTGCCACCAGGGAAGTCCCCCCAAAAACATTTTATTAATGTCTCCTCTGGTAATATCTGGTATTGATAATTTGTTTGGGTTTGAATTTGCTGGTAGTTTTCTGGTGATTTCTTTGGGTTTGACTTTGAGGTGATCTTTCTCATATCTGAGATGGATGCTTCACTGACTGTCCTTAGCCTTTATTATTTTCCACAATTTGCGTCTACAGCTACAAATCGCTTTATAAACAGAACCTAGCTACAAGATTCGATACTTGGTATTTTAACTCTCATTTAGTTAAGAAACGTGCATTACTTTTTATCCCGATCTCCTCTTTGACGCGGGTTATTCAGAAGCACACTTGTGAAATGTGTGTTAATCTCCTGTAGTTACTTTGTCTTCTGATTAAACTCCCTGACTTCACGGCTCTGTGATCAGGGGACATGATCTATGTGGCTACTGTCCCTTTGAAATTGGTTAAGAACATCTCCGTGGTCAATTTTAATAAACGTTCCCTGTGTCCTGGAGTGGGCAGGATGGCGGCCACTGAGTGAGGTGTTCTGTGTGCGCGTGAGGTGAGGGTCGGACAGCCGCATTCAATCCTCATCCTCACTGACCTTTGTGGTTGTGTCAGTGACCGAGGGCAGTGCCTGTGTCTGCAGCTGAGGCCACTGTGTCCTCCTGGTGGTCCTGCCAGCCCTGCTCTGGTTCATAACTGACTTTGCCCAGAACCCCCCACGTGTGGAAGCCCTCAGATGCACCTTGGTATCTGCTTTGTCAGTTGGATGTATTGTATTTTTTTTCCCCGAGTCTAGGGTTTGCCTTCTCGTTTTCTTAGCCGAGGAGAACATTTCAATTTTGATGAAGTCTGATCTGCCCATTTTAGCTTCGATGGTCAGTGCTTTTGTGGAGCATCTCGGACTTGCTGCCTAGCCCGAGGCTCTGAGAGCCCCTCCCGGCTCCTGTGCACGCTTTCACACTTGCGCCTGTGACCCACGTCCAGTTACCGTGTGTCCCCAGGTGGGGCTAGGGCTCCCCTCTCCGTGTGGACGGGCCGCTGCTGCAGCCCCACCCCCGCTCAGGGCCTCAGTGCTCTCCCTTGCCTGCATCAGTTGGCTCCGAGGATGTGCGTCTCTGGGGTCCACGGGGTGGAGGGAGCTGCAGGTGGAGCAGGTGGGTGGGTGGCCTGCCTGCCCACCTGGGATGCTCTTTGGACGTCCAGGGACCATGGGTCCAGGAGGCGTCGGGAGGTCGGATGGCCGGCCGGGGTGTGTACGTTGCAGGAGCATCTGCCCCGTGGAATTCTAGCCACCATCTGGGATGAGATGGCTCAGGGTGGACGGGGAGGTGAAGCACAGATGTCTGCGGTCCAGGCCTGGGCCTGGCCACAGTCAGGGCGTGGGGAGAGAGAAGGGGTGGCAGTGATGGAAGGAGAGCAGGGCTCAGGGGAGCAAGGACTGGCCGGCTGAGTGTCCAGTGCTGGCAGAGACCTGGACGCAGGGAGTGACCACGGGATTGGCCTGTGCATGTGTGACCTTGGTCCGAGCTTGTCTGTGGCGGAGCCAGCAGACGGGCTGTGGAGAGAGGAGAGGCGAGAGGTGGAGGAGGGAGTGGGCAGGGTGCAGGGATGAGGGTTTTCATTGTAATGTTTATATGGATGCTGCTACGCTTGCTGTGTGCTGATGGGAGTCTGCTGGCCAGGGTCCAGAGAGGACCCCAGAGGGGCTGGTGGCCAGAAGCCTGGCCCAGGCAGAGGCTGAGGGCTGACCGAGTGCTGTGGGGGGCTGGACATGGGGATTAGGCTGGTGTCTCCTGAGTCCGAATGTCACTTGTTCGCTCTTCCCTTTGCCTTGATGTCTGTTTCTCTTTTGTAGAATTAAAACGAGGAATTTCCCAAGACTTGATTTCTTCCCCCAAATTAGACAAATACAAAATAGCAAGACAATTAACGGACAAGGCAATCAAGGTAAATGCTCTTTGGGGCTCGGGGGGAGGGGTACTTTTAAGAACAGAAATTCGTTTTGGAATTTGGAGAGTGAGTTCGTTGCCTCTGACGCCCCCCTGCCCATGTGAGGCGGCCCCCGCAGTCCTGGCCCCCACGTGGAGGCTTCTGCCAGTTACTTTATGTTTCAGCTGTACTTTTGAAATAGGTAATGCTTTCAAAATTCAAAAAACGCAGACACATACACAGTAAAAATCTCTCCTGCAGCCATGCAGTCGTGTGACTGCAGCTGTGGACACACATCCCAGACAAGGGACAGGCTCCTAGTGACTCACAGACCCCCTCCCATCCACTCCCCCCGCCCCAGGCTCCCGGGTGACACAGTGAGGACACTTGCATGTGAGAGGGGTTTGTGCCCAGGAGAGGAACTCTGGGGCTCGAGTGGGGCAGCTGGCATACCCACCCACTTCCTCAAGGGGGAGGCCTACCTTTCAGCTGAATGGGAGAATTTGGGGGAGATAAAGAAGGACAAGCGTTCTTCAAATGGGGGCAGGTGGCTCCACGGCTACCACTTTGAGAACGTGATCCTCTGTCCTTATCACGCGTTTGCGTTGCTCAGGCCGGGACAGTGGGGAAGCACTGACAAATCCAACACACATTGACACGTGGAAATGTGCTCATTCCCTTAACTTTCTCCTGAAGCACAGCACACACATGCGAGTGTACAGATCATAAGTGCACAGCTCAGGCTGTGATGGGCTGGATGTACCTGGAGAGAGAAGCACAGCACAGGTGACGTATGTAATCAGCATGAACCCCTGCAGACATGACAGCACCTCTGCCCCCTTGGAAGCTGCCTCCCGCCCTAGTTATTCCCAAATCCTGGCAACCACAGATGTGCCCTTTGTGCTTCCTACCACTGTCCTTTCTGGGGCTTCATATAAGTAGAATTTAATTTTCAGATTTTCTTCTGAGACCTTAAAACATATAAACATTCAGGGCTACAAACATCCCACTAAGTACTGCTTTAGCTGCATTTCAAAAGATTTCATTTTGTAGTGTTTTTGATGAGATTCAGTTCAAAGTATTTTCTAATTCATATTATTGCTTTTCATTGATTGTGTGTTACTTAAAACTATGGTTCTTAATTTCTAAACTGGTGGCTACTTTTCTAGTTATTTTGTTATTGATTTCTAGTTTGATTGCCTGTGGTTGAGGATGTAATGGGTACAATGTTATTCCGTTGAAATGTGTTCATACCTGCTTTATACCTAGCATTTTGTTAATTTATATAAAAGTTGATGTAGAGTGCTGTATTCACAGCCATCAGGGTAGAGCTTGTTATTTGCGTTGTTGAAGTCTTCTAGCCTTATTGAAATTTTTTGTCTCTGTGTTCTCTAATTTACTGAGAGAAGCATGTTAAATATCCTATTGTAATTGGGGATTTGTCTACTTTGTGTTTCTGCCAGTTTTTGCTCTATATAATTTATAGCCATCTTAATGGGTGCAAATGTATCTTTCTGGTGAATTGAATGTTTGCTTTAAATTATGGGATGATTTTCTTTACTTTAGTGATGTTTATTTGTCCCAAAGGCTATTCTGTCTCATATATAGATCCTTTTATTTTTTATCTATCTGTAGGGTTGTGCTTTTGATTTTCTCCTGTAAACAACATAGATTTAGATTTTAAAAAGATATAGTCTGGCACTCTTTACCTTTTAACTGGAGCATTTTGTGTATTTATCTATAATTAAACACTGGTATATTCCCATCGTGTTTCATTCATTTGATTTGCACTGTCTGCTCAGTTTTCCTCTCCTTTCATGCTTCCTTGTGGACTGACTACTTTTTATTATTCCATTTTCCCTCTCTTATGTTAGAAATCTTGTACTCTTTTTTGTCCTTTTGTAGTTCCCTTATGTATTGTCCTGTGCTGACTTACTAAAGTTAATCAGATTTTCTGAAGTCATTCAGTTCGACTCCAGTTAAGGAGAGGATTGGACGCAGCTGGGAGGTCTTGCTGGAGCTGCAGGGCACTGACATTCCTGCTGTTGTCATACTCCCTGCCCGCCTCTCCTCACAGTGGCCCCTGTCGTGGTGCACGGCCCTGTCGAGGGTGAGGCCAGGCTTTGGACTGAGGTTCTGATTAGAAGGGGGCTTGGAGGTCTTTCATGTGGGCGCTGGGACTTGAGCTCTCAGGGTCTGGCCACAAGCCCACACGTTCTTGGCATGTGTTCCCAGTCTTCCCGCTGGGACCCGTGTTAGCTACCAATGCTGCTTGACAAATCACCATGAATTTAGCCGCTTAAACACACCACGTATTATCTCCTGTGGGTCAGGGGTCCAGGCTGGGTCCTCTGCTCAGTGTCTGTCAAGGGTGAAATGAAGCATCAGCCAGATGGGGTCTCATCTGAAGGCTCAACAGGGGAAGGACCTGCTCCCAAGCTTCCTCAGCTTGTTGGCAGAATTAATTTCCTTGTGGCACCTTCTTCAAAGCCAGCAGTGGAGAGAGACAGTCTCTGCTGTTTTCAATCTCTGACTTGAGAGAATCCTGGACCCTCTTTTAAGCGGCACACCTGATTAGGTCAGGCCCACCCAGGATAATCTGTCTTTGAAATTCAGAGTCTAATTAGGGGCCCTAGTGAGTTTGAGCTGCCTCCCCCTGCTGCCCTGGCCTCCCCTCCTGCTCTCACAAGCTCATGAGGCCCTAAGCTCACTGCTGACCATACCCCTGTTCCCTGCCCCTGCCCTGCAGCTGCTGCCCTCTGACCCTGTCCAATGGATGTGTCCAGGCTGCATCCTCAGCAGCATGGGCCCTGGGGCTCCAGCATGACCATCACTCTCCTGCCCCCTGTCCCTCATCTGGGAAGGCAGAGGATGCAAGCTACCAACTCCCTGCCTGGCCCCTGGCAGCTGGCCTCATTCCCACAGTGATGGGCAGAGCCCCCAGCTCCCCTGGTGCTGGCCCTGGGCAGTTCGCACTGCCCCTCCAGCCATTGGTGGGCATTTGTTCCCCCCTCTCCTCTCAAACCTCGAGCAGCTCCCCCACCCCAGGCATGAGGGGCGGTCACCTTTGCAGAGAAAAGAAAGCCGCAGAGCACAGGCCCTCGGGCCCTGTCCTGCATCCCACCTTTCAGACCTGGAGCTGCCCTGAGCTGGGGTCTGAGCCTCAGGAAGCATCGAGGTCCTGGCTGTGCTGTGCCTCCTGGCCTCCACGTTTGGGGCAGCAGGCACACACACGGCGGAGTGGGCCTGCCCGGGGGCTGCCCGGCCCCAACCCGTCGGCTGTCCCAACGCTCCTGGGTGATTTTCTCAGAGCAGAACACAGGTGTCTTCCCGCCGGTGCAGCCTGTGTCATCCTGATAGTAGACTCCTCTTGCAGAGATAAAATTAACTCAATTCTTTAATTTCAAATACACTCTTGCAATTCAAGGAAAAGAAGATCTTCTCCATCTACGGACACTCCCCGGTGATCCGGGCCTCCCTGCGGAGGAAGGGCTGGGTGGAGAAGAGGTTCCACTTTCTGCCCAAGGTCGTTCCGAGTGTCAAAGACGAAGGGGAAGGAGTGCCAGGTAGAGTATCGGAGGTGTCTTGTGTTTCGGTGTGAGAAGTTTGTGTGTATGTCACGAGGACCCAGACGTGAGTCGGTTCTGCGGGTCCTGTGCTGTGGCCTCACCCCTGGGGACAGAGTCACCTCCCGGCCCCCACCCCAGGCGTCCAGGCACTGGCGAGCCCTTTCAAACCCTGGTACTGGTCACTTCTTGGTGTCCCACGGTCCATGCTCAGACCTCCTCCTGTGTCTGGATGGTGTTCATCGTCCTTTAGCGGCCTGGCCCTGACTGTCCCTCCTCTGGCCCCATGCTTGGCCCCTGGCAGTGCCCACTGCACCCAGCCCCTGGTCACGGGTCCTCCCTGACCCCACCTGTGCCTGCCCCCTGCTCTGCACAAAGTCTTCATCCTCTTGGCTCCAGGGTCTGCGCTGGGCCCTGTCCCACACGGTGCTTGAGACCCAGCTCACGGCCCTGCCCACGTCCCGGGTCCCCGACCCTGGCACGGCCCCTGGCGGGGGTGCCATGCAGTGGACACCCGAGCCTGACTCGACCCTGCTCCTTTCGGAACCCACAGGGGCACCTGCTCCGCACTGGGCCCCGTCGTGGGCCCGGCTGTGGTCACGCCTTCCCGCCATGATGCACTGACATCTCCTGTGTGTTGTGTTTGCAGAAAACAAACGTGCTGAAGGCAAAGAAAGTCAAGAAGTGGCTTTGGGGAAAACAGACGACATCCACGATGTGATGGTAGGTCCCGTGGGCTCTGGAGGGGCCTTGGCTGACGTTTACCTGCCTTTGTGCCGCGTCCTTGGGGGGGAGATGTGGCAAAGCCATGGTCACGCCCGGCCTCGAGGACATGCGCGCGAGTGCATGCGTGTGCACGTGTGTGCGTCTGTGTGCCCCGTGTTTCTGAGCGTCCACGTGTGTGCCTCCACGTGTGGGCAGGCAAGCTGGGCCTGTCGTCTGTGGAAACCCTGTGGGACAGGATCAGAACAGCCCCCAGGCGGCGACGGTGGCGGTGGAGTCTGCTGGACGCAGCGCCTGCCTGTGGGGCGGGGCAGCTGCCACAGGGCCCAGCTCCCGGGCCTCAATGCTCCCTGGTGGCAGGTCAGTCATCAGGGATGGGCTTTGCAGAGCTGTGCTGCCCTGGGAGGGCTCTGCTGGCCGGTAACAGAGGGTCACTGCGACTCAAGGGGAGGGAAGAAAGTTAAAACAAGACCAAACTGCGTCCACCGTGAGCAAGCGTGACGCGTTGACCACGCTGAAGAGCTCCTGTCCCTCATGTGACCCCGTGAACAGAACGAAAAGACAAGCCACTCAGGGAGGTACTTGCAGGGCTTACGAGTTAAAAGATCTGATACTCAGAACATGTGACACGCTCACAGGTCAGGAGCAGATGACGATCCAATAGAAACGGGCAAAGCCCCGACGGGCCGGGGAGCCCATTACTGCAAGTTCCCAGAGCAGATTCCTTTCTGTGAAAGTCGACCGTGAGGCTGGGGGGCCGTCCGCGGGTAGGGGGCGTGGGTAGTCGGCAGGGGTGGGTGCAGGGGGCTGGGCCTGTGCGGGAGCGTCAGCTCTGGACCGAAGGCCGTTTCTCACCCTGGGCGCCCGGGGAGCCACCAAGCTGCTGTCTATGCTTCCGTGTACGACGGTTCATCACACAGTGTGACAAATGACACTTACACGGGAAGGTGGCAGCAGGAGCTGTACATGTCACTCTGAGAGCGGGAACGAGGACCAAGGGCTCGAGCCCAGCGTTCAGGGAGCTGGGTGGGTGCGTTTTGGAAGTGGCGTTGGTGGCCTGGGCCCCAGCAGCCCCCTCCCTGCGCCCCCCAGCAGCAGTGCTGCTGTCGGGTGGGGGGAGCCAGTCCTGCCGGAACACAGGGGTCAAGGTGGATTGACCTGAGTCACGGGGGGCTTAGGTGGTCCTGATATGCTGTCTGCGGACAGTGCCCACAAAGGGTGTCCGGGTCATCTCTAGGGATAGGATTTTGGAGAATCTTTCCCTTTCCTAGTATCTCTTTGTATGGTTAGAAATTTTGACCAAAAACATGCCATTTTTGTAAACACAAAAGCGCAGACACCAAGGACACCCCAGTCACCCACCTGTTTCTCGTCCCGGGCGCCCGGGTGGCCACCAAGCCTCTGTCTAAACTTCCGTGTACGATGGTTCCTCACACACTGTGACAAATGACAGCTGCTCTCATGGGCCCCTGCATTCTGAAGGTGCGGAGGCAGCGGAGAAGCCTGTGTCCCGGCGGCCAGGGAGGGGGACTCTCCCAGGTCCACACGTGGTGTGTCCCTGCGGCCGGCAGCTCAGACCTCACTCGGGGCCCCTGCAGCCCAGACCCCGAAGCCCCCCACCCCTGTGCCATCGGAAGCCCTGTGTGGTAGCTGCTCCCACGTGAGCCCGCAGGAGACCCTCGAGGAACGTGCAAGGCCGCAGTCAGGATGGGAGAGTCACAGAAATCACACACCGCTTCTCACCTAAACCCCGGTTCCTTTAGTCTTGGCGTGTCCCATTGTCAGAGACGTGAGCCTTGGGTGCTGGGTGTGGATAAAGGTTTTTTCTTGCCAGTCCAGGTTGGTAAAAAATGAAACACCGTACTTCCTCTGGACAATCAAAAGGGACATCATTGACTATCACAGTCTGAGCTGCGACCAGATGCTGAATCACTACGGGAAGACGGCGTCCTTCACCACCAAGGTGAGTGGGAGGGCTGGGGGCGCAGGCGGGGCAGCACCCTGCCTCCTGAAATGCCAGTACCTCCGGAGCCGGGAGCGCCACACGGGGACTGGTTCCCTGGGGCCGCCTCTCCAGGACTGGAGCCTCCTGCTGGCCTGGCCCAGCCCAGAGTCCAGAGCCGCTCCGTGCTGCTGCCCTCAAACCGCCCCCCAGAGCCCCTGTGCCCCTCGCCCTGTGTCCCTGGGCGGCCCCAAGCGCACAGGCCAAGCCCAAGAGAGGGCAGGTGACGGCTGCCACCGCAGCCCGACCCAGGCTCTGGGCCTTGGAGGGGCTCCGGACCCCAGGGGGGCCGGGCCACCCTCACCTGTGCTGTGACTTCCAACTGCAGGGGGGCATTGCCACACGGGCACTTCCTGCCCTCTCCCCCTTTCAGCCGCCAGCCCCTCCAGGCAGCTGTTCCCCATTTACCCTGAGGTCTGAGGTCAGGGGCGGGGCCAGCCCGGGAGGGACAGGCCTGTGTGTACCCCCTGGGAGCGATTGGGTAAAGGGGCTTCCCTGGCAACAAGGGCACCGTCCCCTAAACCCTCAAGGGTGACAGAGGGGCAGGGACGAAGTGCACGGCCGCCCCCGGGGCTCCCTGTAGGGCTCCGGCCCCCCCAACTCACCCTCGCCAGGCCTTGGGCCGCTGGTGTCCTTCCGGGTGTGGGCGATGCCTGCGGACGGCCCAGTGGAGCCGGGCGGCTGGGGAGGGGCGGCTCCAGGAGGTGCCCTCCCGGGAGCCCACTGGAGCCAGTGCTGCCCAGCCAGGCCCGTGGGCACTAAGAGTGGTCCAAGCTGGCCTGGCGCGCGGCCGGCGGGCCTGACGTGCCGCTGTCTCTGGAGATTGGGCTGTGCGTGAGCCTGCGGAGCCTGCCGTGGTACGTCCAGGCCAACCCCGACTCCTTCTTCCCACGCTGCTACGGCCTCTGCACCGAGAGCGAGAAGCGAGAGTTCCTGGGTGAGTGGCTGGTGGCCCGGCCGAGGCGCCTGGCATTGAGCGTTGGGCCCGGAAACCCGGTGGGGCCTCTTTCTGGCCCACGTTCCTGCAGGAGGGGCCCCAGGGCTGGGGGTGGGGGTGGGGTGATGGCGGAGGGCCCGGTCCCATCCCAGCACCTGGGACCTCAGCTCTGTTTCACGTGGTAGGAGCCAGTCTAGAAACTTCCATGGGCAGCGTCTGCAGGGCAGGAGGCCAAGTGTCAGCAGCTTGGTTCTGACGGGGCTTCTGGGACAGGCCGGCATGGGGATGGTGCTGGGCCAGGGTCTGGGTGCCTGGGGCACACGGGGACGACCGGCTCTGGGCTGGGGACAAAGGCTGGTCCCTGGTTCGATCTGCCTGGAGGCACAGGAGAGAGGAGAAGGTCAGGGCAGGCAGGGAGGGGGTTGTTCGGGGGGGACCCGTGTTTCCTGAGCGCCCGTCTGGGGGGCTGTAGAGAGCGGCATCTGCCCAGCACCCCTGCCTGCCCTGTGCCCTGACCCCAGGCCGGGGCTCCCAGGAGCCAATGGCCGGCTGCAGGACAAGGCAGGGGCGGGGCGGGGGCAGAGGTGAGAAGTGCAGTGGGGGCAGGGCTGTGAGCAGAGGCCTCGCAAGATGGGGTGCCGGGTGGAGACCCAGAGGAGAGGGGTGCTGAGGGCGGCTGGCTGGGGAGCTCCAGGCCAGCCCTGCAGCAGGCAGTGTGCCGCACGTCCTCGGGCAGGGGGCTGGTGATCTCAGGAGCATGTGTTCTGATGGACGGAGGGGGGTGGGTGAGGGGCCGCGTGGGGGGCTCAGGTTCTGGGTGTTTCCAGGGCAGCAGTAGCTGCCAGGCCGGTGGATGCCGGGAAGGGTGGCCTCAGCTGAGGTGGGGAAGGAGCAGGTTTGGGAGAGAAGTTGCTGGAATATCCAGCTACTTGGGGTGGGGAGCAGCCTCGCCTCCCAGGCCCCTCACGGAGGCGAGCCTCCCCTGGCCGCTGCCCCTGGCATGTGACAGGCGCTCAGAGGCAGCCTGGCTCCAAGCCTAGGTCTGGGGGACCCTGAGCTGCCTCTGCGCTGGTGGATACAGCAGGGCCCCCAGCCACCCACAGTTAGAGCGGTGGGAGCCAACATGTCCAGAAAGGTCTGGAGGGGCTCGTGTGATGGGGAGGGTCCCGGTGTTGTCAGCAGGGGGCTCTTCTAGAAGGATCCCTCTGTGCAGGGCTGAGGACACGGGGGCAGGGAGAGGTGGTGACGGTGCCCACAGACCGTGGCCCTGGGGGTGCAGGAGAGGGCCAGGAAACGGGGTGCGTGGATTCTGCCTCTGGGCCTGTAGGCAGGGTGGATGCACAGCTGGGGTGGAGGTCCTGGAGTGAATGAGACTCCCCTCCGCAGAGGAGGGAGGATGAGTGTGGAGGTGGAGGGTGTGGGCAGTGGGGGAGCGCCCGGCCCCCAGAGGGCTCTGAGGCAGGAGTGAGGCCCCCGCACGCAGTGGGATGCCCGGGCTGGGAATGGCTGGCGCTGGCTGAGTTCCCGTCCCCAGCGCAGGCACGGGGGCGAGGCCTTGGTGTCCTTTCAGATGACTTCCGGCGCACGGTGGCCTCCAGCATCCTCAAGTGGGTGGTCAGCCACCAGAACTGCAGCAGGAGCACACCCAAGGGCTGGAGGGAAGAGGCCGGTGACAGTGACTCCAGCAACAAGCAAGGTGTGTGCCGCCTTGGTGTGGCCAAGGCCATGGCACCCCGGGAGGACGGTGACGGGAGGGGCCATGGAGCTGTGCATCCAGGGTGGGGCTGCAGCTCTGCCCCGACCCCAGTCTCTTCCAGCAGAATGCCATGGGAATGGCGCTCCTGGGTCATGTAGGGAGTCGTGGGCCACCGTGGGTTTAGGCCTACAAGACCCAAATAAGTCCTTTTTGTTGTTATTCACTTTCACAGAACAGTTTTAGGTCCACAGCGAAGTTGAGCAGGAGGTACAGGTGTCACGTGTACCCTCTGCCCTTTCCTCCCCTGTGTCAACATCCTCCTCCAGATGGTCCATTTGTTATAAGTGATGAACCTACACTGACACGTCATCATCACCCAGACCCCACAGTTTACATCAGGGTTCCCTCTTGGTTTGGACAAATGTTTAATGACATGTATCCACTGATATAGTATCTTTCAGAGTAGTTTCACTGCCCTAAAAATCCTCTGTAGTCAGCCTGTTCATTCCTCCTTCCCCCCAACATCTTATCTTTTTGTTGTCGCCACAGCTTTGCCTTTTCCAAAATGTCATGCAGTTGGAATCATACAGTGTATATGACTCAGACAGGCTTCTTTCACTTACTAATGTGCATTCAAGGTCCCTCCTTAAATCCCTCCTTAAGTCATGCCTTGATAGCTCATTTCTCTTTAGCACTGACTAACATTCCACTGTCTGGATGGAACAGAATTTGTTCATCCTGTCACCTGTTGAAGGACATCTTGGGTGCTTTCGAGTCTTGGCAGTTATGATTAAAGCTGCATACGGGCTTTTGTGCAGCTGTAAGTTTTCAACTCACTTGGTAAATACCAAGGATCACGACTGCTGGATAAGATGGCAAGAGTACGTTTAGTTTGGTGAGAAACTGCCTAACTTGTTCCAAAGTGGTTGCTGCACCGTTTTGTGCCCCCGCCAGCAATGATGAGCGTTCCTGTTGCTCCACATCCTGGTGAGCATTTGGTGATGTCAGAGCTCTGGACCTCGGCTGTTCTAGTAGGTGTGTAGTGGTGTCTCACTGTAGTTTTAATTTGCGTTCCCCTGACAATATATGATGTTAAACATCTTTTAATATACTTATTTGCCATCTGTATATATTCTTTGGTGAGGAGTCTGTTCAGCTTCCCTCCAGTTTTAAATCGGGGTGTTTGTTTTATTGTTGAGTTTTAAGGGTTCTTTGCATATTTTGGGTACCAGTACTTTAGTGTATGTGTCTTTTGCAAATATTTTCTCCAACTTTACAGCTTGTTTTCTAACTCTGTTGATGATGTCTTCCACAGAGCAGAAGTTTTAAATTTCAGTGAAGTCCCACTTATCAATTATTTTTTTCACGGATTGTGCCTTTGGTGTTGTATCTAAAAAGTCGTCATCATAACCAAGTTCATCTTGGTTTTCTCCTATGTTATCTTCTAGGGGTTTTATAGCTTTGTGTTTCAACTTAGGTCTATGATCCATTTTCAGTTAATTTCTATGAAGGGTGTAAGGTCTGTATCTAGATTCTTTTTTTTTTTTGGCCTGCACATATCCATTTGTTCCAGCACCATTTGTTTGAAAAGACTATCTTTGCTCCATTGTATTGCCTTTGTGCCTTAGTCAAAGATCAGTTGACTATATTTGTGTGGGTCTATTTCTGGGCTCTCTATTCCACTGATCTATTTGTCTCTTTTTCACCAATACCACACTATCTTGATTATTGTAGATTTATTGTAAAGCTCAAATTTAGATGGTGTCAATCTTCCAACTTTGTTCTTCTCCTTCAACATTGCGTTGGCTATTCTGGATTTTTTTGCCTCTCCATATAAACTTTAGAATCAGTTGGTCAATATCCACAAAATAACTTGCTGGGATTTTGATTGGGATTGCTTTGAATCTATAGATCAAGTTGGGAAGAACTGACATCTTGACAATGAGTTTTTTTCTATTCATGACCATAGAATATCTCTCAATTAATTTGTTCTTCTTTGATTTAAGTAATCAGAGTTTTGTACTTTTCCTCATATAGATCTTGTACATATTTTGTTAGATTTATTTAATTATGTATTTATTTCATATTTGGAGTGCTAATGTAATGGTACTTTGTTTTTAATTTCAAATTCCAATTATTAATTGCTGGTGTATAGGAAAGTGATTGACCATAACCACTTACTAGTTCCAGAAGTTTTTTTGTTGTTAATTCTTTTAGATTTTCTACCTAGACAATCATGTCATCTCTGAATAAAAACAGTTTTATTTCTTCTTTCCCAATTTGTTTACTTTTAATTTTCTTGTCTTGTTGCATTAGCTAGGATTTCCAGTATGATGTTGAAAAGGAGTGGTGAGAAAGGACAGCCTTGCTTTGCTCCTGATTTTAATAGGAAAGATTCTAGTTTCTCACCATTAAATATAATGTTAGCTGTAGGTTTTTTGTAGATATTCTTTATCAAGTTGAGGATATTCAACTTGATGTTCTATTCCTAGTTTTTTTTTTTTTTTTTTTGGTGGTATGTGGGCCTCTCACTGTTGTGGCCTCTCCCGTTGCAGAGCA